TAACCTGTCTGCAGTTCATTTTTTTTTATGGTTTTATCGGACATAATAGCGGACACCATAATCATTTTCAATTCCTTTTTATTTAGAAAGCTTGGCGTCTTTTCATCCACAATTTAGAACCCAATGCTTAACACTTTATTTGAGAATTGAAAAAAAAATTACATTAAAAATTAATGACATGGCGATAGAGTTAAACAAAACTTGTTCATCAAACTTTCAGCTTTCCAAAGAATACCAGGATATAGACAAAGAAATTGGTTCTTGAATTTGCCAAAGATGGCTGAAATTGCTTGAACAAAACAATAACAAAATATGAAACTCAGTTTATCTTTAAATTCGAGCTCACGACTCCAGATCTCATTGGAATATTGGAAAAATACAATAAAAATGAAACCGGCAGATCTTGTCGATTATTTCCAATTAAACATGTTTGGATGAATACTTGCTGCCTAAATTTTATATATATATATATATATATATATATATATATATATATATATAAGAAAGAACAGTAAGATATATAATCCGTTGTTCTTATTGATATTTTAGTTTACAAAACAGTGCTCCATAAATTTAAAATAAATTATAAATTAACTGATTTAAAATATGGTTTCTTCGCTACACAAGAAATGCCATGTTTCAAAAACCGAAGGTAAAAACTTCAAATTTTATTATATAATTAAATTAAAAGCCTTAGTTCTGTTTCATCTTCAAGCGAATTTTGGAATAACTTATTTTTAAATTTACTGAGTTTTTTGTTACCATTATTGCTTCTATGCTTGGAAACAGAAAATTATGAATTGTATGTGCGTTTAAAACTCAGTAAATTTAAAAATAAGTTATTCGCTTGAAGATGGAACAGAACTAATGCTTTTAATTTAATTATATAATAAAATTTGAAGTTTTTATCTTCGGTTTTTGAAACATGGTAATTCCTGTGTAGCGAAGGAGCCATATTTTAAATCAGTTATATATATATATATATATATATATATATATATATATATATATATATATATATATTGACCATATATATTATATACCCCATATACATATTGAACATATATATATGTGTGTGTATGTATGTATTGAATATATATGTGTGTGTGAGTATGTATGTATTGAACATATTTGTGTGTGTGTGAGTATTGACCATCCTACAATTTTGACACTTGTAAAAGGTCAGCTGCCAATATATGATCGCGGACAATCAATAATCAATAACTTATTAGCGGAGCCCTAGAGTTTATTTTGATAATGTTCTCGGTGGTAATCGAATATTGATTGCCCACAGATAGGAATTGTTTTTAATATTTGCCATCTTTTTGACAATAGGCACGTATGTATTTGTAAATAGAAATAAACACAGTATGTTGACGCACAAAAATATCTCTATTCAATATCTCTCTCTCTCTCTTTATATATATATATATATATATATACTAGACTCTCCCGTCGTTTTTCCCACGAATGAGGATCAAGCAACTCAGTTCCTAGGAACCGACAGTCCAGACACCAGCACATGAGAATTGATTATAGTGGTGAAGGTTTCGTGCAGGACCATCCACATTTTTTGAAGGGCCGAATACAGAGACCTACTGCACCGAATGCCACAATGTTCCCAAACGACCCTCCTCAGGTTTTGAATTCAGAGTTGTCCTTCTCCTAGACTAGTTGCTATCCAAGGCTATAGAACCCAGTCTTTCCGGGTCTAGAGACGGTTCTTCCTACCAAGGTGGACGTAGGTTCGAATCCTGCCGGTGAAACCATATTTTTCTTTAATAAATTCTCTCGTATCTTCAGCACGATAAACATATATATATATATATATATATATATATATATATATATATATATATATATATATATATATATATATATATATATATATATATATATATATATATATATATATATATATATATATATATATATATATATATATATATATATATATATATATATTTATATATATATATATATATATATATATATATATATATATATATATATATATATATATATATATATATATATATATATATCTAAAGTGTGTGGATAAGGTATATTTAGGCAGCAAGTATTCATCCAAATAAGCTTGATTAAAAGGGCCAACAAGATTTGTGTGTTAATTTTTATTATATTTTTCCAGTTTTAGAATAAGTTGTTGAGTATCGTGGTCGAAGTTGTTATATTTTTTTATACATTTTGTTCAAGTACACTCGGATATCGCAGTCCTTATAAAGAAGCAATGTGTTCTGTGTGTGGTAATACAAACATACATGCATACATATATATATATATATGTGTGTGTGTGTGTGTGTGTGTGTGTGTGTGTGTGTGTGTGTGTGTGTGAAAAGTGTATATAAATATAAATAAATATATATATGTATAATTATTTATATATTATATATGGTACTTATTAGAAAGCGCTCAATATCAGAGATAGAGCTAACATATTTGGCAAACTCACATCTATCCCAAAATATATATATATATATATATATATATATATATATATATATATATATATATATGCTTTGATTGCTGACATGTACATATTCACGAGACATTCACGAGAAATTTTCGCTACACTTCCAATCTTTGAATTTCAACGTACAAATGCGTATGTATATAGACAACAGCACACATATACATACATATGTCAAATCCCATACTGTCCACATATCTTTATGTCTGTATGAACCCCGGCGAACGAGCGAGTGTGTATGTGTGTCTGCGTACCTCAACAGGTGTACAGACATGCATCTATGTTTGCGTTAGCACGATGACATCACGACGACGACCCCCCCACTTCCATAATAACGCCAATACACGCAATCTACATAACCCCAAATGTCTAGCCACACTGATGAACTGTGAAACAGCGAAAACAGTAAAATGTGAATGATGACACACACACACACACACATACACATATATATATATATATATATATATATATATATTCATACCCTTGGGAAAGGTATGAATCCTCTTCCTCTCCCTCCAGCTATGGGTAAAATAGCAGGACAGACTGGGTTCTATAGCCTTTGATGGCAACTGGTCTAGGAGAAGGACAACTCTGAATTCAAAACCTGCAGTGGGTCGTTTGGGAACCTTGTGGCATTCGTTGCATCAGGTCTCTGTATTCGTCCCTTCAAAAAGTGTGGATGGTCCTGCACGAAACCTTCACCACTATAATCAAATCTCATGTAACGGTGTCGGGCTGTCGGTTTCCTGGAAACTGATCTGCTTGACCCTCATACGTCGAATCTCGACGGGAGAGTCGATTATATATATATATATATATATATATATATATATATATATATATATATATATATCAGTGTGTCACACGTTTTCAACTTTACTCCTGGAGACCTTAGCCCAACGTATCATACCATTTTGGAATCAGGCCGACTAAGTGAAAAACCATAACGGGTCGGATCCAGACCCCCAATCATGAGATTTTAGATTCCCAAGTTCTCATTACTGCTGTTGTTTTTCGACGTTTTTTTTTACCTGCTTTTTTACGGCGAATTATTTTGTACGATAACAACTTAACTTGTAACTTGGAAATCAAATTTGGGAATAATCGAAATTAATTGCGAAATCCAGCGAAAGTCGCCCATGAAATAAAGATAATTGCCTGTACGGAAAGTAAGGACCTACATACATCAAATTTTCTTTAAATTAAGTGTCGGCAGAAGAATCGTCGTTGAACTTGTAAACGATAAGTTTAAATATTAGTGCAATACTTAAATGCAAAGATCAATTTAGAGTTCTTTTGTAGTTTATTGTTTCCTATCACATCTACACCCCCCTACCTATTGTGATGAAGGCCCAATCAAGAGCTTGCCTCAGGCACTAGTGTATATATATATATATATATATATATATATGTATATATATATATATATATATAGTCATATCTTCATTCAAGCATGTTTCATTAAATAATGTAGACATATTTCTATCTATTTTTATAATAATACTTTCTAGTTCTATAATTATCTTCTTGATGTCAAGTTGAAATTCATCAAGGAAGGCGCCGTAGTTTTTTTTTTTTTTTTTTAATCAAGTACATTCGATCTCCTCTGAGATGGGCGAATTGCGAATTAGTTAATGTGACTGTAATCACAACAATGGTGATTTTTGTAAACAGGCGTGTACGCACTCTGTCATAATTAATTTATTACGTTTTGTAAACAAGCGTTCTAAATGCAAGGGAAACCAGAAATTTTAAATTGCAAAATGATATTAAATGTTAGTAAACTTAAATGCATTTTAAAACTTTGCTACTATATTCGTATAAAATTTTGTTCAGTGTTGGTCAGTTGATTTTGATATAAAATGCCTCGTGAATTTGAAGTTTTCCTGGTGTAGTATATTGATGTCATCAACAACTATTTTCCTGTATTGTGAAGGTGAACTGGGATGTCTTTAATCTGATAAATGGGATGTAAAACGTTTTCACAATGTTGTGGTCATCAAACCAGCATATGTACTTACTTTTTATATATAAATATAATGAGTGAATATTATATATACAGTTTTAGAGATATGAACAAACTCAGAAGGAAAAAAAAAGAAAGAAGGTTTATATTCAAAGAATGGAATTCAGTGTCGAGTAAGCGAAAGAAAGAATTAAAGAAAGAAGAAAAAATGAAAGATGTGTGCATGGAAAGAAAGAAATTAAGTCGAGAGCAAAAGAAACAAAAAAAAGAAAGGAAGAAAAGGGATTCTATTTTAAAAGATAGAAATTAAAAATGTCTAGAGTAGACGAAAGAAAGGATGAAGGAAGGAAAAGGAAAAAGTGCCCATTGAAAGAAAGTATGAATATCTAGATTAAACTAAACTATCTCTAAAAGAAAAAAAAAAGAACGAATGGTGAGAGAAAGAAAGAATAGTGAAAGAAAAAATGGTCAAAGAAAGAAAAGAAAACTTCTCCATTCAACTAAGACAGGAAAGAATGTCGAGAATAAGCAAAAGGAATTCTAGAGAAAAAGAGATAGACAAAAAGAAAAGAAAAATGTCTGCAGTAAAAGAAAGATAAAAGAATGAAAGTTTAGAACAAAGGAGACATACGAAAGTAAAAGAAAGAAAGAAAGAAAGAAAGAAAGGAATAAAGAAAGAAAGAAAGAAAGAAAGAAAGAAAGAAAGAAAGAAAGAAAGAAAGGAATAAATAAATAAAGAATCCGAAGGAAATTCTGATTTCGTATCACGTCTCGGGAAAAAGCTACGTCCTTGGAACTTCTTCCTTATAAATGGCATTAGAAGTAAATGTTGGTGATTCGTCTCCGTGGACGTAACATGGCGAGTTCTGGCCGTGAAGCTCAGAAGCGCTGAATCTATATAGTGAAGCTCATGTAAACATTTTCCAGGAAAATAGCAATAAATTACCTATAAACTATGGGGAAAGAGGTTGTAGATTGGAAAATAAGTTATCTCCTATAAGACCACGTATACTCTGAGTTACATATCTCCTGTTAACTCTCCTCTCCAAGGACACATGGCACAGTGGATAAAGGCGATAGTTAGATCCAGTGACAGGACCCAAAGAGTGTGAGTTCAATACGTGGTTAAGGCGGTGGAGAACTTGGAGAGGAGAATTAACAGGTGATAACTGATAAATGGCATCCATTAAACATGGCAAGTGGAACTAGAACAGTCTACCCCAGCGAGCGAAATAAAGAGTTCAGTTCGACATTCCAACCACCTGAAGAAGGCCGGAGCATACGGTCGAAAGGTTTTGATAAATATGGCAACAAAGATGAGGATGGTAGTCCGAACAATGTAAATAGTGTACATAATATCTCATCTCAGAAATGTAGACAAACACAATGTGTCTGAGGGTGAGTTTGTAATAGGGACTCGAATTCGAGTGACCGTTTATTATCATATATAATCCAGATGGTTGACGTTCGCGTTTTAAACGAAACTACAGAAATCTAGACTGTGCCAGCAAATTGTTTATACTGTCATGATTCCAGTCCCCTTTTTCAGTGCTCCATAATTGTGGCCTTTTGTCGTACTTAGCTGAGCTTAGTAAGGAGTGTGTTTGCAGAATTTGCATAAAATCACGTAATTGCTTTTGCCCGGAGCGATAGCTACCGTGTAATTTCTCGCAAGCGTTTCATTCAGAAATTCGCGGTCTCCCCCAGTGGCAGGACAAAACACAAGGGGGAAATGGTCAAGACTTTTCCTCGCGGGAAGCTTCAGCCAAAATTCGAACGATTGTTCGTCAGGAATTTTTTTTTTTTCTTTTCGTGCCTAAACTGTTATGCCACTCGACTACAAATAAGCTGATCTTCAGAAGTTAACAGTCGTCGTCGTCGTCGTCGTCGTCGTCGTCGTACAAGTAGTAGTAGTAGTAGTAGTAGCAGTATAAATAACGATAATACTAACAATGATAATAAAATTATGAAAAATGAAGTAGAATTAATTACCAGAGCGACTTCAAAATTATTTCTGAAAAGCAAAGTTCAGCATATGAAAAAGAAAGTAAAAAAAAAAATATGGAAGATAAAAGTATAAAATGGTTTTAATTTGATAAAGAAAGAAAGTAAAAACGCAACGAAAGAACGAGAAAAGAGAGAAGACAATAAAGTGCGTAGAAATAAGAAGAGAGAAATAAACAAACAAAAGAAAAGAAAAGAAAAGAAAAGAAAAGAATATACAACAAAGGGAGTGAAGATAGTAAACAAAGAAAGAGAGTGAGAGGTGCAACTTCAAAGGAAAATAGAAAAAGTGCGTGAGAGAAAGAGAAGTTGCGTAAAAAGACTAAAGAAAGAAAAAGAAAGAAAGTGACTTAAATGATTAGATTTCAAGAAGAAGAAGAAGAAGAAAGGTGGGAAGAATTAGGACAGCTACATACGTACGTACGCACGTAAATTACAAAAGAAAGAAAGAAAAACAAGAAAAAGGAAAGAAGGAAAAATAGAAAGAAAAAGGCTAAAAAGATCAACGCTGTAAAAATCCAACATTCAAGGAATGAAAAATACAAGTTCGAATGACAGAGAAAAAAAAAAGGTCGATTAACAAATGAAAAAAAAAATACAAGAAAATATCCACGTGGTTGTGAAGAATAAAATAATAATAATAATAATAATAATGAAAAGAATAAAAGAAAGAAAACGAAGAAGAAATGAGAAAGAAAAAAAAGAAGCAGAAGAAAAGCAAGAAAAATCGATAAATGGACTAGATTTGTCACAACACACACAACTGGGTCAAGCCAACTCCCTCCCTCAATACTCATAGTCTATCTACCTAATTTCTCTTTGCTCTCTATACAATCTGCTACTCTATCGCGCTTTCTCCCGTTAACTCTCCTCTTACCACCACTTAACTTTCTATCCTTTTTTTTTCTTTTCTCGCGATTCTTTTCTTTGCCGATTTTTAGGTTTATTTTTCGTTTTTTATTTTTTATTTACGAGAGAAAAAAAAGAAACGAAATAAACAAAATGTGTTTTTTTTTCTTCTACGAAATAAAAATAACTTGTAAAGAAGAAAGAATAAAAATGTTTTTTTTTTTTCCGTAGGTGGGATGGAATTGGGGGTGTGGGGGTGGAATAAAAAAAGAAAGAAAGACGAAAGAAGAAGAAGAAAAAACATTTTTTTTTTCAAACTGATAATTCTTTTAATAAAGATATAATACATTCGAAATAGGAATCTCATAAAATAACGGGACAGACTTGAAATAAGGTCGCAGTCTCTTCTTCTTCCAAACATACACGACATTTAAAACGTTCATTAGGAATTAGCGAATTCTTGATACCCCCCCCCCCCACACACACACCCCACAGGAAAAAAAAATTTGCAGCAGTAAACAATTGCGGATACCCGTTGAAAATACAAGTTCGATTCTTAAAAGATCTATTTATTTTTAAATTTTTTTTTTTCGGTTGGTGTGCAGAAAATAACCCCTTTGAATTCAAATTTTCAGATATATAACAATAACACTTACAGTAATATTCCAAAATATCTGACGGAAGGGTGTTTGCACATAAGTAAATATAATGAACCGAACGAGAATTGAAATTCGGCCCACAGTGTTCCAATTTTGAGCCGTTATCCATTACACTGTGGTAAATATTTAGTCAGAGTTTTCTTTCAAGCTAAACTATCTCAATTAAATTTATAAGTTTGAGTGTTCGCTTCAGCATGCTTCTCTTAGTTGTAATTCAAAGTTTTGGCTGTTGTACCTACCGGCCTTCTTAAGGCTTCTGTTATACTCAGAATCTTGAACTAAACCCTAGGGGTAGATTATTCTTATTCTGCTTCCCACGATTAGGGAATATCAGAGAATAAAAAAAAAACGGTTGTTTACACTCAATTGTAGATATGAATGAATGAACTGTAGATGTGAATGAATGAATGAATGAGTGAATGAAAATTGTGATTTTTCACGTTCATAGGTCTAATCACAAATTTTGTAGCTGTGTAAATTGTTTTAGCTACAGTGTAACCCGGATATAAGAGAGTTGTCGGGACCGGAGAAGTCTCTTATATCCGGGTTTCTCTTATATCCGGGTTTGGTCTATTTTATATACATTAACACAGGCTCTAATTTGGGACCAGAGAAAATCTCTCTTATATCCGGGTCTCTTATATCCGGGTTACACTGTATAAGTTCATAGTGTCCGCCGTGCGTGGTAGGGTAGGAAGAGAAGCTTGTCGATGTTTTTTCTACACTGGCTCTCGGTTTGGAAAAGATATGCAAATGTATATTTGAATCTGTACAGATATATAGTCTTGTGTGTTTCTTGTTTTATCCGGAGAAAAATAATTACTGTGCCGTATAACAGAAACTACATCACTTGACACTTACACATTGTTATACCAGAACATTACCTATTCTATTGTAATAGACTCTCCCACACATAATAAGTAGTAGTAGTAGTAGTAGCGGTCGCCAGCTGGGCTCAGTGGAGTTGAGTGAGTCAGTCGATGTCGGACATTGAAGTAACTATTATTTGCAAGTTCCTAACGTTTTGTACGTCGGACCTTTTTTAGGACCGACTTATTGAAATACAAGCCTCCACTGTGAAAACTACTCTACAACACACCATTAACTCGAAAAGAAAATGATGACATAGTTATGAGGTTGATCTTCCACACGACTTCGAAGAAAAGGTTAGGAAGGAAACCGCAATCAATATTAGAAGCTTGCTTACGGCTATATCACCTTGAAACACCGGTTCTCGTACGATCACCGAAGTTAAGCAACGTCGAACCTGGATGGGTGACCGCTTGTAAATACCAGTTGAAGTAAGCTTGGTGGTGTGGGTGGCGAAATGGATGACGGCTCTGAATTGTTCCAATTCTCGTTGGTTTCCGTTATATTTGCTTACGTGCGAACACTATTGGGAAAGGTGCGAATAATGTAAATAGTGTATAGTGTATACGTGCGAATCCATCTCTTCTTCCCCAGCTATGGGTTAATTAGAGGGACTTGTATCAGTAAAAACTTTATTACCTTTCTAAAATGCTTACAATCTGAAAATATGTTTTCTACAAAACACGCTATTTACATTATTCGGACTGTTATCCTCATCTTTGTTGCCATATCACAACGTTTGGGACGTTGTATGTTGAACTGAACCCTTTATTTCGCTCACTGGGGTAGACTTTTCTAGTTCCACATGCCCTGTCTAATGGATGTCAGTTATCAGTTATCTCCTGTTAATTCCCCTCTCCAAGTTCTCCACTGCCTTAACCAGGTATTGAACTCAATCTTCCAATCACCTGAAGAAGGTCGGAGCGTACAACGGCCGAAACGTTGTGATAAATATGGCAATAAAGATGAGGACAATAGTCCGAATAATGTAAATAGTGTACATAATACCTCATCTCAGAAATATAGACAGAAACCTACAAAATGTTGAAAAAACAATCAATCAATTGCGTAATCCATTTCTCTTAAAAATTGTTTTAATAGAAATATTTTATAAATTCCAATCGACAGGAATGCCGAATGTTTCCTTATAAGGAAACGGATAATATTTCTATTTGGTGCTTGTGAATCTATGTGTGAGTACAATAATGAAGCTGATGTTTCAACGAAAATCTATATATATAAAATTCTGTGACTTCCGTTAGTCTGTCTGTCGCACCCACTAAAATGGGCATTACTTGACCGATCAGAACCAAATTTTGGGAAGAAGTGCAAACAGGTACGAGATACAAAGTACAGTTGGTTTTACTAGTATGCGAAGCTTAGTACATTTTTTTTATTTTTAAATTAAATGCTTTATGATTTAACAGACATAATACGCCTACTATTTTAAAATAAAATTTAATGATCAAAATAACAAATACTTATTTAATAAAAAATGCAATATTGTTTTTTGCGTATATTTTCTTTAAGATTTTATAAATACAAGAATCCAGTTTCCAGTTCGCCCTGCGTTTACGAGAACTGTAAACAAATCACAAGGTCAAACGCTTAAAAAAATTGAAATTTGGCCCCAGAAAAAAAAAATATTTCCGTATGTTGCATGCTCAAGATTAAGAAATCATATGAATTTATTCTTCGCTGTAAAAAAAAAAAAAAAAAACAGAAAATTATTGTTTAATATAAAGTTCTATAAAATTAAGTTAAAACAATTATCAAACCGCGAAGTAGGGTTTTGATCAAAGTATTTTTCCAAGCGAGTCATCTTATTCAAATTCCATCGATTTGTTTGCTAAATTGCACAAAATGTAGAGGTTGAAAATCTCGACAAAGATGTCAGCGATAATTTCCACAATACTAAATACTGTGAGGATTTCAACGTGCGTCAGCGTGTTACCAAAAATTTCTAGTAAGATAAAAGTTTAGCTAGGGTATTTTTTGGAGATAACGCTTTTAAGGCAAGCAGTCTTTGCCAGTAAAGCGCCCAATATTAAGAGATAGATCACTAATATCAACAACGAAAATTAAACTTTCGACGCATCTATCCCGGTTCCGAGTTTCGCAGAAACTTAACCACTCATCGGAATCTTGAGAGTAAAATTGAATTTATTTATAAAAATCATATATATATATGTGAGTAAGTGTGTGTGTGTGTGTGTGTGTGTGTGTGTGTGTGTGTGTGTGTGTGTGTGTTTGTGTGTGTTTGTGTGTGTGCTTTAGCATTTGCTTATATTACTGAGATAATATATTTAAACTATTTCCACTACTGTCTTCATCTTTATTGTCATATTCGCGACGTTTCGGCCGTTGAACACTCCGGCATTCTTCAGGATCTGCTCATACTTCTGAGATGATCTGTCTATATTTTTGAGATGAGATATTGTAACTGTTTAAACTGTTTACATTGTTCGAACTGTTGTCCTCATCTTTGTTGTTACATTCGCGACGTTTCGGCCGTTGTACGCACAGGACTACTTCAGGATCTATCTATATTTCTGAGATGAGGTATTGTAACAATTTACATTATTTACAATATTCAGATTGTTATCCTCATCTTATTGTCATATTCATGACAATTCGGCCGTTGTACACTAAAACCTTCGTCGGGATTTTCTATATTTCCGAAATTAAGTATTTTAACTATTTACACTATTTCCATTGTTCGGACAGTTGTCCCCATCTTTATTGTCATATTCATGACTTTTTGGCCGTTGAACACTCCGGCATTCTTCAGGATTTGCTCATACTTTTGAGATGATCTGTCAATATTTTTAGATGAGATATTGTAACTATTTATACTGTTTACATTGTCCGAACTGTTGTCCTCATCTTTATTGTCATATTCGCGACGTTTCGGCCGTTGTACGCCCCGGCTTTCTTCAGCATCTTGTCTATATTTCTGAGATGTGGTATTGTAACTATTTACACTATTTACATTGTTCAGACTGTTATCCTCATCTTTGTTGTCATATTCACGACCTTTCCGAAGTTCTACTCTCCGTCCCTCCTCAGGAGATATTTGTTGAATCGAACACTTTATTTAACCCACGGGGGTAGGTTGTTCTAATTCCACATCTCATGCCTTTCGATTTGTCAGCATTTAGCTAATTTGACTTGGGATTTGGTCCTCTCCAGATTGAACCTAATGCCTCCATTTTTTACCATAGCTCATACAAAAAGAATTTGATATGTTCCGAAAAGGGATATATTTGTTCGAAGTAGCAAAGTGGTTTTGGACTACTGTAACCAAGTAGGGCAATCTAGCAGGTAACCGTAATGGACTGGTCCTCGTCGTAGTGGTAGGCAATAGGCGAAGACTATAGGCGTAGACAATAGGCGTCGTCCTGTACCTCCACATCAGT